TGGACTTTACAGCTGGATGGCATCGTTGGCTAATTTTCTCCCTTGACAGTTTACAAAGTACCTTCTGATACTATGGGGGCTAGTCTTCAGGGAGGGGCTTCCAGTTCATTTCCAGCTTGATTGCTTCAAGTCCTTTGTCCAAGATATGCTCTGTCTTCAGCAATAGGGTTTTACCTTCAAGTTCTGAGAGGCAGTCAAGAGCTATGGCAATGCCCCGTACTATTTTGGGAGTCTCTTGCACTACCCTCACCAACAACTCAAAGGAAGGTTTCCTCTGCCTGACATTGTGTTTGTTGTTATGTAGACTTCAGGACTCCTGTACAGATATTGTACATATATTTTTCAGTAGGCTTTTGAGCCTTAACTTTTTCAGCCCCCCACCAAGTGTTATTTATCACCCTTAACCCTCCCTATACCCTCTCCAGTTAAAGTATTTCCTATTTTCTACATTTCCTCCTTGATTACACCTGTCTCCTCCTATACCTCTCCCTTGAGATCCTTCTTCCTCTTTTCCCCCATGGTTCCTTTCACTTTCCTGTCTCCTCTGGTTATATCAGGATGGATCCTCACATCCAAGTATTTAAAGCTAGTATCCACAGAAGAGAGATAACAAAACTCACTTGTTTTTCTGAGTCTTTGTTACTTCACTTAGCATAACAGTTTCTAGTTTCATCCACTGACTTGAAAATTCCATAATTTCATTTTTCTTTACTACTGAGCAGAACTCTATTGTGTACATGCACCACATTTTCATTACACATTCATTGGTTGAGGAATATTTACATTTACATTGCTTCCGTTTCCTAGCTATTGTGAAAAGAGCAATTAGCATGCTGATCATGTATCTCTGCAGAAGGATAGTGAGTCCTTTGGTTATATGCCAAGACTGCTATACCTGAACAATATAATAGATTTATTTTAGCTTTATAAGAGTTCTCTACGCTGATTTCCACAGTGGTTGTATGAGCTTACAATCCCACCAGAAGTGAATGAGAGTTCACCTTTTCCCACATCCCCACCAGCTTTTTCGTGTCATTTTTTCTTTTGATTTTAGCCACTCTGACTGGGACAAAATAGTTTTAACCTGCATTTCCCTAATTACTAAAGATGTTGAATACCTTTAAAGGTATTCTTAACCATTTTAGTTTTGCTTTCTTTATATATATATTTTTTTATTTTACGTGTATGTGTATATTGCCTGCACGTAGGTAAGTGCACCCGTGTCATGTAATGCCTACAGACATCAGGAGAGGCTGTCAGATCCCCTGGGACTGGAGTTATGGGCAGTTGTTAGCTGTCACGTGGGTCCTGGGATTTGAACCTGGGTCTTCTACAAGACACCCAGTGTTCTTAACCCATGAGCCATCTCTCCAGCCCCCCATTTTATTTTTTCTTCTGAGAACTCTCTGTCCAGATCCATAGTTCTTTTGTTGTTGTTTTGTTTTGATTTTGTTTTTAGTTTTTTACAGTTTGATCTTTTTTTGAGACAGGGTCTGGCTGTAGCACCAGCTGGCCTGGAACTGATTATGCAGACTAGGCTGGCCTTGAGCTCACAGAAATTCGCCTGCCTCTGCCTCCTGTGTGCTGGGATTAAACGGTGTGTGCCACCACACCCGGATACAGTTCATTTTTTAATTGTTATTTGTTTTCTTGATTCTTTGTTGAGTTCTTGGTATATTCTGGGTATTAATCCTCTGTCAGACGCAGAGCTGTTAAAGCTTTTCTCCCACTCTGTCAGCTTCCTCTTCAGTCAATTTGTTGTTCTCTTTGCTGTACAGAAGCTTTTTAGTTTAATGAGTTCCCATTTGTCCTATTGTAGACCTTAATTCCTGAGCAATCGATGTCTGATTTAAAAGGTCCTTTCCCGCACCTGTATCTTGCGGGACACTGCCAGTGAGGTCTGTGATCCATTTGTATCTGACTTCTGTGCAGGAATATAGACCTGTGTCTAATTTCACTTTTCTTCATGCGGAGATTCAGTTTTCCCAGCCTCATTTGTTGGAGATCCCATGTGGTAGCCTGATACACACCAAAGGTAGACTTGTATAGGTGAAAAATGTTCCTTGATTAGCATTTCCTACATCTTTGAATATTTAAAAACATTTATTATTTTTATGCTGATGAATGAATTTTATTTTTCATTTTTCTATAACATTATAATAGCACATGACATAGTAATTCAGCATACAGTATAAATTACCTTAATTCCTCGGGCCTAGGGACTATTTTGTTAGGGAAATTCTTTAAGTTAGTAACATTTTTGTTTATTATTTAAGAATGTCATATAATTTTCTTTGATCATATTCAGATAGTATTCCTCAAATATTCTTAGGTGTGGGTCCATCCTTTGGAGCCTGGAAAACTTACCCCATGCTACACCGTGAAAGAAAACTGACACTCTGTCTCCCCACAGCCAACAATTGCCAGTATTTCCTTCAGATAGGACTGGGGCTACTTGATCGTCTCACTGCTGGGTTTGTGTCTGACTAGGGCTTGCACAGGTTTTGTGCACGCTGTCCCAAGCACTGTGGGTTCATCTGCTGTGTCTGGAAAACAGTGTTTCCTCATATTCAGCCACCACTGCTGGCTCCTATAATCTCTCTGCCCCCTCTTCTGCAATTGATCCATGAGTTTTGGAAGGAGAAAGTGTGTTATAGGAGTTCCTGTTAGGGCTGAACGCTCAGTCTCTTCTCTGCATCTTTTCAAGTTTTGGATCTCTGTGTTAATTGTCACTTGATGAATGGAAAACGTCTCTTGTGAGAACTGAGAGGTGCATTAAAATATGAATAAAACAATGAATCCTTAGGAGTTGATTCAATACTATGTCTCTTTAACAGAATAGGAGTAGTGCATTCCCCTCTCTAGCCGGTGACCCTGCTAGCCACAGGTTCCTGGCCATGAAAATAGTGCCAGGTACGGGCTGCACCTTGTGAAGATGGCCTTGTATCCGATCAGAAAGCTGCTGGTTACTCCCATTAGTGCCACTACTTCGTGAGAGGGCGTGTCTTGTCAGGTCAGTGGTTGTTGCAGCTCATAGGTTCACAGATGAGTAAGGTTGGTGTTTACTTTTCTAGTAGCATGCCGAGCACCTTTCAGCACTATGAAATCTAGTCAGTAGAGAGGAAGCTTTCAGGTCAGCACAGCTTGACCTCTCTGTGTTTGTTCTATGGCTCACAGATATAACTGTCTTCAGCAATAAGGTCTTACTGTCAAATTATGGAGGGCAGCCTAGAGCAGTGCCAACAGCCAGCACTTTTTAAGGGTCTAAGTGAGGTTACCACCCCTGCTAGACAACTTCACAAGGGAGGGGCCCCCTTCCTGGCCTCAGTGAACATTGCACACATGGGTGCAATAAAAATATGCAGGCAAAACACTCATACATGTAAAACAAAAACAAAAAGAATAAAAGGCAATGCTATGGCCTTCTCATTATATTCTCAGATGTCACAGAATTCTCAGTTGTTCCAATACTAAAAATCTCACTGGATTATGGTGGTGGCTGCTCTATTAATCTACTATAAAAATACTTAGTAGACCTTTTGTAATTAATGAGTATTTTTTGCAATGAATTCTCTGCAGGGTAGCCCACCTTTCTCTCAAGGCCCTCAGGGCACCTATAAGAAATCAAACTGTAAGACAGACTCCTTTTCAGATTTACCATTGTGGTTCAACCCCAACCAGCACGACAAATCTACCAATGTGATGTCATTATTGATAAAAGCAAAAGCTAGTTTCATATTAAATGTTATTCCTATCAAAATTTCAATGACATTGTTTATAAAAATGGAATAAAAATAACCTGAGAATTCATATGCAACCACAAAAAGATCTGCACAGCATGCAACCCATAGAGTGAAAAGATGATGTGTACAAACATTAGGTAAATATGTCAGCTGCAGAAATAATATCTAAGTTATTATAAGGAAAGAATAAAATGAAAGTAACTCGAATTAAAATGGACAGAGAATTAGAATAGATAATCATGAAAAGGAAATATACAAGATGAGCTGGAGAGATGGCTCAGTGGTTAAGAGGCCTGGCTGTTCTCTCAGAAGACCAGGGTTCAAATTTCAGCACCCACATGGTGGCTAACAACCATCTGTAACTCAAGTGCCAAAGGATCCAATACCTTCTTCTGTCCTCCGCAGGCACTGCATGATGTGGGTGTACTTATACACATACAGATATAACACTCATACACATAAACAATAAAAATAAATTAATAAAAAGGAAATATACAAATAACTAACATAAAATAATGTTTTATTTAATTAAAATCTTGGATATGCACATCAAGTTCAAAATAAGATTCAATCCTACAACTTCTGAATAGCTTCAACAAGAAAGAAAAAGGTATATGTTACAGAGCAATGGAGATGAGAGAAACGTTCTACATTAGTGCAATATGAATTGATACAGCAATTACAGACATCACTGCATAGATATCTCCCTTCAAGTATACATACATGCAGAAATCATGCTCTTTTGATTTGAAGTAGAAAATAGTAATATTTGATCTCAAAGAAATATCAGTACCACCAAACCACTGTGATATTATTAATGATAGCAAGATAAGTAAAAAAAACATCTGCACCTTTTCTCTTTCTGTCATCCCAAATCAACCACACATGAGACCAGTTACACACAAAACACAAAAATACATGCCACATTTATAAGAGTTGTTTAATAAAACTATAATAAAATATTTTAATTAGTAGTTATTTATTAACGCACACATTTTACATGAAAGTCAAGAGACCTACAGGATGACATTTTAAAGCACATTATTAGGTTAATGCAGAAATTCTCTACAAGTTCCCATAAAGTTTAATTGATGATGAGGAATCAGATGGGCATGTTGCATTTCATTTATTCCTCAGATAGTTTAGAATGTTGGAATTTTTGAAGATATTAAAGAATCCATAATGTGAAGAAGAATGTAGGAACTTGTAGTAATTCACCAGGTTGCAACTGACAGGCTGAGAAGCCATAGCAACTGCTCAGTAGAAACCATAAGACCAGTACCTTCCACAGCACTGTGGGTGACAGCACCAGTAACCATTGCCACCATAACCACCATAGCCACCATAGCCACAGCCCAGGCCACAATTGCTGTAGCTCAGGCCTCCATAGTAGTTGTCATGGTAACACATGGTGTCATGATTGGACTATTCAGTTGAGGACAAGCAGTAAGTTCTTGAGTCTGGATGTTGCGATCTGCTAAGGGCCTTTTATACACCTGGGTCAACTGGTACTCCAGCATCACATATCTCACCTCTCTGTTTCAGAAGACATCACAGGTGCCATGATTTAGTGGACTTACAAGGTGGGCATAACTGAGATAGCTATGTTCTTATGTCAGGATTCCAGGGTCAAATCACATGATTTAAAAAATTGCTTTATTTTTTATTTTATGTGCATGTGTGTATTGCGTGAAAGTGCACCCGTGTCATGCAATGCCCACAGAGGATGGAAGAGGGCGTCAGATCCCCTGAAACTGGAGTCTTATTTCTTCAGGAATGAATCTCATCTGGAAGTATGTATTTCTTGAGTCTTCTCATGAAGAAAAAGCTACTTAGAGCTTATTTACACAAACTCTGAGCAGATTCCTCCCCCCAAAATTCATAGCAGTAACTTATGATACTGAAAATTTCATTAGCAGCCAAAAGTATTTTATCTAAAGAAATATCTACATTACCAAATCCACTGAGACATTATTTGCAATAGAAAATAAATAGAAACTACCAAAATTCTTATCAATGGATGAATGCTTATTTATCAATAGCATTTTTATTCTTTTTGAATTCAGTACAATGTATTTTGATCATATTCAGATCCTCTTATACCCCATCAACTCTCATATATACCATGCTGACATATGACCCTCAGTTTGTGTCCTTTATTGCTTTTTAAGGTCTATCCAGCCTAATTTGTGTTCCAAAAAGTGTCTTTGTGTGTGTCCATTCCCTAGAACCTAACCAACCTAAAAATGGACTCTCCTCTTCTAGTAGCTATCAGGTCCAAATATTTCTTCAGCTAGGACTGGGGCTTCTTGTATACCACAACTACTCCATGCTGAGATTTTTGTCAGGCTTAGGCTTGTCAAGGTCTAGTACATGCTATCATAAGCACTAATGTTTGATTTGTGCAAATGCCCTGTTCTGTCCGAAAAACATCATTCCCCTGTATTCATCTGTGACCTGTGGCTCTTACAACCATTCTGCTTCCTCTTCTGAGATGATTCCTGAGCATCAGAAGAGGGGTATGTAAACTAGGTGTCCTGTTTAGTGCTGAGCACTCTGAAGTGTCCTAGTCTCTGTATGTTGACCCACTGTGAGTCTCTGTGTCAGTCACCATCTGATGTAGAGAGAAGTTTCTGTAATGAGAGTTGAGAGATGCACTAAAGAAACATTTCCTTCTTCTTTTCCCTCTTCCTCTCCCTCACTCCTCCCCTACTTCTCCACAAATACCTACACATACGTAACCCAGGAGACATAAGTATATAAACATATACCCCAAATTGACAGAGAGTATTTAATAAAACAGAAAGAACTAAATATATCCAACAAAATAGTTTAAGTCATAACTTCTTACATTAAAATTGAGAGAACTGAATCACATTTTTATAGCATTGACAGGTTATAAAAAGGAGACAGTGTAGTCCTTTTTTGTAACATCACGGGATCCAGCTGAAGATGATGAGATGAGGTGAGATGAGATGGCCATGCTGCATTTCTTTTACTTTTAAAGATATTTTAGTACAATGAAGAAATTTAAGAGTTAATATTGTGAAGAAACTTGGAGGCAATTCCAGTGAAACAACAGGTCAGAGCCAACAGGCTGGGCAGCTGTAGAAGCTCCTCAGTAGAAGCCATAGGACCAGTACCTTCCGCAGCACAGAGGGCGGCAGCACCTACAGCCATAGCCACCACAGAGACCACAGCCACCATAGCCACCATAGCCACCATAGCCAGAGCCAGAGCCAGAGCCAGAGCCACAGCCTAGGCCACCATAGCCATAGCCCAGGCCTCCATAGTAGCTGCCATAGTAACACATGGTGTCAGGAGAGGACTGTTCAGTTGAGGACCAGCAGTAGGTTCTTGAGTCTGGATGTCTCCATCCACCAACGGCTATTTATACACCTGGGTGTTTGTCTGAGAAACCACAGATATTGCAGTGTCACACATCTCACCTCTGTGCTTCAGAAAACACAGGTGTCTTGACTTACTGAACAAACAAGTCCTGTAAAACAAACAAGTCCTGTAAAACAAACAAGTCCTGTAAAACTGAGATATTTGTGCTCCTGTGTCAGGATGCCATGGTCAAATCACCTGATTTTAAACTCACTCTTGGTTCAAGTTCCCAGACTGTAGACCATTCTCTACTTAGTTTATTGACTACATTACACTTATTCTGTCATATGATGTAAATCATTAAAATGCGTATCTCCATTTTACTTTCGTTTTCCATTTCCTGTCCCTCCTCAGTAACAAAGTCTTTGTGTTTTCTTTCCTTTGGAGTGAATCTTACCTGGGGAAGTATGTTCTGTGAGTCTTGCTAATGGAGTATTAGCTACTTATTGGTTATATTACCGGTACCATGGAGGCAAGTTGCCATCGTACATGAATATTTTTAGTTATATTCCTAAGCTTATTGCTTTTTATGTTGTTTTAAAATCAGCATAAAAATAATGATGATTTATGAACATGCTCCATGTTTCTGTGTGAGAACTTGTGAAAAGTGCTGTAGATGTAACTGTGACGTATATTATGGTGAAGTGGGTGATTCAACCTCAACTTCTGTGAATCTATGTATATTTAAAATTGGGGTCAGATGTGCTGTGACAAATCATTTTGCAGATAGTCACTTTAAAAGTTTGCACAAGGACTAAGGAGATGGCTTAGTGGATAAATGCAAAGGCTATGTAAGCGTGAGGACCTGAGTTCAAATCTCCAGAACCCAAAAAAAAGTAGGACATAGGCAGACGCCTATGCACCAGTACTATGAGGGACTGAGACAGGAGTATCACAGGGGCTTGCTGGTTGCCAGGGTAGCTTCATGTTAAATGACACTCCCTAACTCAAAGAGTACAGATAAAGCAAGGAGCAAGATACCAAGTGTCTTCCCCTTAACTCTGTACCACACGCACACGCACACACACACAGACGCACCACAGTTTAAGGATAATTTCCAGGGCTATGCTTCATTATTAGAATGTCAGTTTAGCATGGACAGAATGCTAGATGCCATCCTGGTACTTTACCCTCTACCCGTCTCCTATAAAAATATATAAGGAAAAATTATTTGCTTCATCTCAGAAATAACTGAATATGATTCAAAAGCACAGGGAACAGAGGGGAAAATAGATACATTTGTTTCTGGCCAACTAAGAAGGTTCTGCAGAACAGGACAAGCAGCAGTGTGAATAGACAGTCACTTTGAATAATGGGGCATGAACAACCAAAATTTATATGGAACATCTACAACAAAACAGCATAAAGAAAATAAAATGATGGCAAAATGAGCAGAGATTAGAACAGACACTTTTTCAAAAGAAACCCCAAATAGCCGAAGGGTAAAATAATCCTCT